AGCCAGTCCATGGCCCATCAGCCTGGGCCCAATGGGGAAGGCAGGGGAGAATGGCTTGGCTAAGGAGGTGGAGGATTTGTGGAGATTGCGCCTGCTCCTCAGTCACTGGCCTGGTCAGTCGGGGCCAGGGACGACCAGCAGCGGTGGAGGACCCATCTGCACTCCCCCTGCATCATCTGTTTTCCACATCTGGAGATGCGCTGGCCTCCCTCTCTTTCTCCTTCCCTCTTTTTGACCTTCCCTTCTTTTCTGGCCTTTTTTTTAGGTCTGAACCTGCGATTTGATTTGTGTGGGGAATTCCCATTATGGAAGCTGTCTCTCCTCATACAGACTGGTAACTCACCCATAATTTAGACTTAGGGCTGTGGCCCATAGACTTGGTTTTTAAAAAAAATATTTTGATAACTGTATTTCAACATAGTCGGTTTCCTTGGCAATTGTCTGTACTTTATTTTGTGCATTTAAAAACCCTGTTCCGAGAAGGGGTCTATAGTTTTCACCAGAGTGCCTCAGGGGTCCAGGCCACAAAAAAGATGATTAATCCCCATCTTAGAGAATTGCTTCAGGGACTAAAAGGCCCATAGGTATATATTTAGAACCACAGGGATCTCAGGCAATCTAGGTCTAAGATCATTGGTTTAGAGCTGGAAGAGACCTTAGAAGTCCAACCCACCCCCCTCCCTCATTTTACACATAAGGAAACTGAGGCAGACTGAGGTTAAGTGACTTGCCTAAGGTCACACAACTAGTAATTGTTGGAAGCAGGATTCAAACTCAGGCCTTCCTGACTCCAAGTCCAGCACTCTGTCCACTATTCTACCCCCTCATTTTACAGGTGAGGAAACGGAAGCCCAGGGAGGGTCTCTGACTTGTCTAAGGCCAATGGGTCACCTAGCTAGAACATGTCAGAGACAGGCCTAAAACCAGAATCTTCTAGACTCTATGGCTGGCCCTCTTTCCATCGCACCAGGCCACTTAGCTCTCATTTCCCTAGAGCAGCTAAGCTTCCCCAGGTGCTGAGGCCCAAATGTTGGCCCCTTTCTGCTCCTCTTACCTGGAGGTCCTTGTCATGGCTCTGCCTCTCCAGGATTAGAACCCGGTCCTGAAGCTCTTCCACCGTCCCCTGGAGCAGGTCATTCTCCTCCATGGTGGCGCTGAGGCGATGTTCCAGTTCTCGCTTCCGATCTGACAGCATCTTAATCTGAAAGGGTAGAGAACCACGTGGTGTGTATGTTTATGAGTGTGTGAGTGTCTGAGTATGTGAGTGTGTGTATGTGTGTGTGTGTATGAGCGCATGTACACATGTGGGTAGTTTGGGGTGATGCCCAGGCTGATGGGTGGGAAAGAAGAGATTGGTTCCCAAATATGAACCCAACTATTTGTGCCCGTGTCCGCCTGTACCAGGTTGTGTGTGTCTGTACCTGGGAGAGAAACAACCAGGCAACTCCAAGCTGGAAAGGAAACCCCTCCCTTGGCGAAACTTGGCGAGGAAGGTGGGAGTTGAGCTCCTAGCAAGCTGGAATGCAGGTTGCCAGGCAAAAGCAAGGTGGGGAAGGCCAGAGTGCTCAGGAATTTCCAGAGATAAGGCCAGGGCATGACTGTATCTTCCCTTGCCTTACAGCTCTGCCCTGGGCCCAAACTGCTCCAAAGAGACCTCAAGCTGGTCTGATGGGTACTTTCTTCCTTCTCCAGGTGCCAGGTCAGGAAAACTCCCTAGACACTCTAGAGATGCAATTTCCTTTCTATTGGCTAGCATCCCAACCCCCATCCCCCTCACTGCCCAAGCCAGTCTAGATGGACTAACCTTTGGTGCTTTGATTTGAGGATGGTGTTGGGGTGTGGACACAGAAAGATGGTGGCTGGACCATTCTGTCCCACAGCCATTCTAGACAGGGACAAGTGAGGGGAGGCAGGTGAAAAAACAGAGTTGCCTCAAAGCTCTGGGTTGAATGTTTAAGTGGGAGAGGCAGCCTGGTTTCCTTAAGGCTCTTTCCAGGGTCCCAGCTGCTCTCTACTTAGGCTTCTGTCCCTGTGACTCCTCTGGGCCCTCCAGTTTCCTGAAGGCGTCTCTGGGACTAACCTGGCTCTTCCCAAAAACTTCTCCCCAGGTTTGGCATTCTCAGCTTGTTGCTTTGCTGTGTCCCAGAGGCATGCTATTGTATCCACTCTTCCAGCTTTACTGAGATGTCCTTTCTGCCGGCTTTCTAGACCCTAACCTGAGGTGGGGAACCTGTGTCCTTAAATAGCTAGTACACTAATGCTCTCCTGACTCTAGGCCAGATGTTCTCCAGCCTTACGTTTCTCCTAATTCCTTGTGGCTTCCAGAGCTCTCCTACCTCAGGCAGCATGTAATGTGTTACGGTTCAACTGTGGAATTTTTCCAGGGGGAGATTTTACTTTATTTTATTTTTTTTTGCTGAGGCAATCGGGGTTAAGTGACTTGCCCAGGGTCACACAGCTAATAAGCAGGGGGAGATTTTATTTTATTTTCATTTATTTATTTATTTTTGCTGAGGCAATTGGGGTTAAGTGACTTGCCCAGGGTCACACAGCTAGTAAGCAGGGGGAGATTTTAAACTGAATTTTTAGGGACTTGAGGCCCTCACAGAATCACCCTTCCCTTTACCTTGGGCTCCTTTCCTGCAGCAAACCCTCCCCGCCCCCTGACGTTAGCTTTATGATTCTGTTCCCTGGGTACAGATCTTCCCTGGCCACCAATCCATCAGATAGGCTGACGTCCTGGGGAAGAGAAGCATGTGGCCTTGGCCCAAGGAGATCAGGTATCTGGCACCAACAAAGGAATAGTGTATACGAAGGATTCATGCCTCTGGAGTGCACGTCCAGGTTGGTGGTCCCAGCCCCCTTCATGAATGAAGCCACTATTCCACAAATGGACGGAGGGCAAAGCTGCCTTTATGAAGAACATTCTTCCTTGAGTGGGCCATCACTGAAATCCTCTCCTGCCCTTTTGAAATTTTTCTCCCATGGATAATTTTGGTCTCCCAATCCCCAGCCAGTGCCCCATCAGGTAAAATGATTCCTAGCCATCCCCAAACCTCTGAAATACTTTAAAGAGAATCATAACTCGAAAGCCAGAAGAGACTTTATATTGTTCAGTTGTTTCAACTGCATCTGACTCTCTGTGACCCCATTTGGGGTTTTCTTGGCAAAGATACTGAAGTGGTTGTCTATTTCCTTTTCCAGCTCCTTTTACAAATGAGGAAACTGAGTCAAACGGGGTTGTGTGACTTGCCCAGGATCACACAACTAGTGTCTGAATCAAGTTTGACCTTAGATGAGACCTTAGGCAGCTAGAGGGCGCCATAGTGCACAGAGTGCCAGGAAGATATCTTCCTGGGTTTAAATCTGGCCTTAGACACATTTACCAGCTGTATGACCCTGGGACGGTCACTTCAGCCATTTGCCTCAGTTTCCCCATCTGTAAAATGAGCTGGAGAAGGAAATGGCAAACTGCTCCAGTATCTCTGCCAAGAAAACCCCAAATGGGGTTTTTTTTAGACACGACTTGAATAACACAAGAAGAGACCTTAAAGGCCACTGAGTTGAATCCCCTTGTTTTACAGATGAGAAAACTGAGAACTACCTTTTTTTTTTTTTTGGCTTTTTGGTGAGGCAATTGGGGTTAAGTGACTTGCCCAGGATCACACAGCTATTAAGTGTCATGTGTCCGAGACTGGATTTGAACTCATGTCCTTCTGACTTCAAGGCCAGAGCTCTATCCACTGTGCCCCCTAGCTGCCCCATAAAACTGAGAACTAGATTAGGGGAAGTGACTTGTCCAGGGTCACTCAGCCAGTAAGCATCTGGGACAGGCTTTGAACTTAGGTCTTCCTGACTCCAAGTCTAGTATATGATATGATCATAGGTTCCTATGTTTGGAGCCAGAAGGGACCTTAGAGAAGTAATCTGCTCCAACTGCCTCAGTTTACAAATGAGAAAACAGGCCTGGAGAAGTGGCATAACTTACTGAAGGTCATAATGGTAGTAAGAAGAAATTTAGCTTTACAAAGACAAAATAATTAGCCCAGCACCATGGCCTGGAGAGCTGAATGTGATGGAAATGAAGGGAAGAGCACGCATGGAGCACTGGATTCCCTCACCTTGAACCCTATAAATGGGATCAAAGCCAGCCATGACGATCCCTGAGAATGACCTTGCCCAATGAGAGGCCCAAGGAAAGCGGGGGAAGGAGGAGGCGGAGGGGGAAGCGGGAGGATGGGGGGCGCTGAAGGCGGAAGGACCCAGAAGCAGCTTGAGCACCAGGCATGCACACAGATGATCACAGATGGGCATGTGGAGTCTGAGAGAACAAACTCTACTTACTTCAAGTACCTGCTGCTTGGGACCAGTGGGAAGGGGGGAAAGGAGGAAGGAAGAGGATGAGAGGAGAAAGAAGAAAAGAGACGAATTTGACAGACTTTAGGGGAGGAAAAAACCCCACCTTCAAGCCATTCTCAAAAGGGCAGGAGCACCCTGGATCATACCTCTGGAGCTGGTATCCAGTTCAACTGCCTCATTTTACAGAGAGGGAAACTGAGTCCTAGGGAAGTGACGTGATTTGCCCAAGGCCGTAAGTCGCAGAGCTGGGATGTGAACCCAGAAAATTCAGTGTTCACTCCACTGTACATCAAGGGGCTTCTTTGGGGACCAGCTCCAACGATCCTTCCCCCAGCAACCCTCAACCCCACTGTCAGAGCTGACAGAAAGCAGAAGGTCACACCAACCCTCTCCATCTCCCTGTCCCCCTCAATAACACAAAGTTATCACCCAGAGTGGCATTGATTTTGAGCTTAGAGGCCTTCTAATCCAACCCCTTCATTTTACAGATGAGCAAACTGAGGCCCAGAGAGATGAAATAAGTTATTCAAGGTTACAAAAGTAGCAAGTGGCTGACCCAGGATTTGAACTCAGGTCCCTGAGTTCCCAATCTGGCACTCTTTACCTGGTACCATACTTAGCCCTTTTTTTGACCACTCAAGTTTCCAGTTAGTGAAAGAATCCCTGCTCAGCTAGCTGCCTCCTTGGGTGGAAGATAGAAGGGAAAATCTTCAATGAAGAATCTTTTATTGGCTCAGGGGACACTTCCATGCAAGATTTCATAATTTCCTTGTTCTATAGTTATCTATCAATCATGCAAAAACATTTATTAAGTGCCTACTATGTGCCAGGTATTGTGCTAGGGGTTCAAAGACAGTCTCTGCCCTCCAGGAGCTTACCTTCTAATGGGGGAGACAACAGGTACCAATACAACTGTATATGACACATAAAAAGCAGATATAGTATCTGCCATTATAATCTATCCTCTGCTCTGCTGCCCAAGTTAGGTTTTCCAAAATGGAGGTCTGATCACGTCACTCCTGCTCTATGAGCTCCCTATTCCCTCCAGGTTAAACTAGAAATGCTTCTGTTTGGGAATTAAAGTGCTCCTAACTTGGATCCTTTCCAAGCTTCTAAGGTTTATTTGTTTTTTAACAACTCACTCTTCTCCACATACTCTACATACTAGCACCATTGGCCTCTTTGCAGTTCCTTAAACACACTGCCTCATTTCCTATCTTCATGCCTTTGCACTGCCTGTACCCTTTGTTTGGAATGCTGGGTCTCTTCATTTTTCTGATTTCCTTCAAGGCTCAGTTTCAATCCCAGCTATTCCAAGGGTCTTTTCTTTTCTAGTCTCTGCTGTTCGTGCCCCACCCCAGATGCTGATTCTTTACATTCTCATATTGTTTTCCATCTACTCCACATATATCTTATATGTGCCTAATTTTTTTACAGCTTGTCCCTCCTCCTCCTTTAGAATGTAAGCTTCTTGAGGGGAGAGGCTATTTTTGCCCCTCGTTGTAGCCCTAGCACTTAGCATAATGCTTAGCACCCAGTAAGAACTTACTAAATGCTTGTTTATTGATTTGGAGGGACTTGGTATGTTGTGGCCTTTCCTGTATATTTACTGTGAACAGAACTGAATAGAAAAGGGACATAGAAAATAATTGCTGCCTAGGTTTCATGACAGCTTTCTGATAGGCAGAACCAGAGCTAGGTATGGGCAAATTAGGCTGCTGCCTAGGGTGTGTGCAACATAAAGGGGTATACAAGAGTCATTTCAGAATATTCCTTTTTTTTTTAAATAAATGGACCATTTTGATACCAGAAAAATCCCCTTTTCATGATCTGTAGATCTTATGGGCACGCTGAAAGCTCAAAGCCTATACATAAAACTTTCCTGATCCTCCCAGCTTACTAGTGTTTTTCCCTCTCCCTAATTACCTTGCTTTTATTTTGACTCTACTTATATGCATGAATATTCTTTCCTTTAATAGAATATAAGTTCCTTGAGGGCTGGGATGGTTTAATTTTTTTTAATCTGTATCCCCAGTACATAGCACATAGTAGGTAAATTAATAAATGCTTTCTCATTGAAGGGAGGGAAAGAAAAGGAGAAGGAAGGAAATAAGAATTCGTATAGTGCCTACTATGTACCAGATACTGTGCTAAGCACTCTTACAAACATTATCTCATTGATTGATTGATTATTTGGTTATTGATTATAAGGGGCTCAATTCCTCAATTCAGTCCAAGGAGGGGAATGCAATATTCAAATCTTGACTGGGATACAGAAATACTGTGTCCTGGTTCTGCAGACAGAATTTTAGGAGGAGAGTATTATTAAAGGAGGGAAATCATAGGCTACATTCCTGATGAGGAGTTACAAATGGTAGCTCTGAGCCATCTCTCTGGGCATGGCCTGGTCTCCAGATGACTGGCTAGCCACAAGGATGAAATCCAGGGATTCCCTTCCCATTCAATGCCTCATTACTTTGGGTACCTTTGGCGGATGTGTTCAGTCATTTTCATAAAGCTGGCTTTGCTTCCTTAGTTCAGACGGATCCCTACCCAAAGACCTGCCGTATTGCCTGAGACTGGCAAGAAGCCCTCCCTTCGGGAAACTCACTTCAGCCTGGAGACTCTCTAGTCGGATGATGTGTTGACTGGATGAGGAATTTTTCTCCCGGAAGTCTTCTCGGAGGGCGTGGACTTGCATGGAGAGCTGGCGCTCCACTTCTGATGCCTGGGAAGAGAAGAGACCACAAGGATTTTAATGGAGAGATAGTGGGGAGGGGCCTTGATTCTCCCTCCCCCTGCCCTGTTTGTATCTTCCATTCTTTTGCTAAGTTTAATCAGACATTGATGTGATGGAAGGCTGTCAGCTCCTAAGACCATGCTGTATAAGGTTAGGTTGAAGGATTTATAGCAGGAGTGCTCAGACATTTCTTTCGTGTCATGGGCCTCTTTGGCCTAAAGATGTCTTCTCAGAATAAAGTTTTTAAATGCATAAAATAACACAAAGAGATTTGCAAAGGAAACCAATTCTATTGAAATAATTACCAACATATTAAATATTTCATATTTATTAATAATATGAAAAGCATTAAACCACTGTATATAAAATATTAAAATTTTATAGTTATTAATATTGTATTAAAATCATTAAATAGCAATATATCCGAATATTAAATAGGATTAAATGATTAGATAAATTAAATAACATTAAAATAATTAAAAATTAAAAACACAGACATCAGGTTAAGACCTCCTGCATTAAAAGGTTGCAGATTTAGAGCTGAAAGGGCCCTCAGAGGTCATCTGGTCCAATCTCCTCATTTTACAGACAAGGAGATGGCAGCCACAGCACACTGTTGAATCATATTGAGCTCACAGAGTCCTCTGTGATTTAGCAGATGATTGTAGCTCTCCCGGGCCTCCCTCAGCTAGAAGTGGGTCCCCTGCCGAAATAAATGCCCTGCAACAAAGTAGGTCAGGACCATGGAGAAAAGTTGTAAGGCAAATAGGTTTCTGAAAAAGGATGAGTGCAGTGGCTGACAACCAGGCCCATCAGTCGCTGTCCAAAGCCTGTTTCTCTGAAGGCTGCTCTCCCAACATTCTCCAGTTTCCTTTTCTCTTTTCCCCCAGAAGTTCCCTTCACTCCTGGACCTCTCTCGCTGGAATCACCTTCTCCTCCTTTTGCTTCTTCTCTGATTGTCCAGCTCCTTCCAGAATCTCCATTTGAAGGAGGATGCCTGGGTTAGCTGGGTCTTCATCCCTCCCCAGGCTGCATTCCAGACTCCCCCAACTGTCTTTACCAATTCCCTTGCCTTGGGTACTCCCTAACTCCCCTTTTCAGCTTCTTTTTGTGGGTTGTTTTCCTCCATTAGATTGTAAGCTCCCTGAGGACAGGGACCGTCTTTTCTTTCAGTTTGGGTTTGTATTACCCGGGCTTATCACAGGACATGGCACGCAGTAAGCACTTAATAAATGCTTGTTGTCTTGTCTTGACTTGACTTGAATGAGAACTGATGGGGTTCATTATAACCCTGCAGGTTTTGAAACGGTAACCTAGGACCTGATACTTATCCTAAGGATATTGGTCAACTGGCAAAATGAATTCTACAGCCAGAAAGAATCTTGGAGGCCACCTTATCTCACCTCCTCAGTAGATGAGGAAATCGAGGCAGAGAGAGGTTAAATAACTGCCAAGTGCATACAGGTAGGAAGCAACAGAGGCAGAAGGGACTATCTGACCCAACCCCCTTATTTCGCCAAGGAGAAAACTGGGGGAAAGTGACTTGCTCAAATCTCAAGGCCTGGAGGAGTTAACTTCCCTTTTCAAAGTAGGTCATTAGCTTCCTTCTCATAGAAAGGTTCTGGTTCAGACCTTTGGATAGCGGAAACTACTGTTAGTTGGTATGGAAGCATACTAAGTTTACCCCCTTCCCTCTTTAGATTATGTATCAGAGAAGGGAAGAGAATAAGCATTTATATAGCACCTACTATGTATCAGGCACTGTGCTAATGCCTTACAAATATTATCTCATTTGATTGTCAAAACAACCTTGGGAGGTAGGTGCTACTATTACTCCCATTTTACAGAAGAGGAAACAGAGGCAGACAGAAGATAAGTGACTTGTCCAGGTTCACATAGCTAGGAAGTGCTTGAGACTGGATTTGAACTCAGGTCTTCCTGACTCCAGGCCCAGGGCTCTATCCATTGGACCACCTAGCTATTAGGAGAGTAAGTTTTTTTTAAAATTCATTCATTTATTTATTTTTAGTTTTCAACATTCACTTCCATAAGATTTGGAGTTCCAAATTCTCTCCCCATCCCCACCCCAACATGGCATGCAGTTTGATATAGGTTCTACATATATATTCATATTAAACCTATTTTCATGTTAGTCATGTTGTAAAGAAGAATTAGAACCAATGGGAGAAACCATAGGAAAGAATAAACAAAAAAAAGAAAAGAAAGAGAGAGAGGGAAAGTATGCTTCAATCTGCATTCAGACTCCATAGTTCTTTCTCTGAATGTGAATAGCATTTTTGGTCATGAGTCTTTTGGAATTGTCTTAGATCCTCGCATTGCTGAGAAGACCTAAGTCTATCAAAGTCAATCATCGCACATTGTGGCTGTTACTGTGTACAATGTTCTTCTGGTTCTGCTCATTTCAGTCTGCATCAGTTCATATAAGTCTAGGAGAGTAAGTTCTTAACCTAATTTGAATGGGAAACTTGATCAGTTTTTCTTTAATTCTCAATTCTTGAGCCCATGGCCTACATTAAATTGTTTCTTATTCAAAGCCTGGGCTATTTGTTGAATTTGGGACTGGATTGCATTTGTAGTTTTTTTGAAGCTTTCCTCCTCACTTTGCTTAGAAATCAGGAGCCTTGTGGGCCCCTGATGGTATTTTAGATAGCTAGGCAGCACAGAGGATGGAGCACTGGGCTTGAAGTCAGGAAGACTTGAGTGTAAATCCAGCTCCAGACACTTTCTAGATGTGTGACCCTGGGCAAGTCACTCCACCTCTTCTGCCTTGGTTTCCTCATCTGTATAATGGGCATACTAACAACACTTACCTCCAAAGATCGTTGTGAGGATCAAATGAGATATTTGTATAGTGCTTAGCACAGTGTCTAGAATACACTTAATCAATGCTTGTTTCCTTCCTCCTTGGGGCTGTGGCATCTTCTGAAGGAAGTGAGGCCAAACTATCCCTATTCCTATCATAAAGGAGCCTAAAGCAGCTGCTCCCCTTCAGCAAGGCTGCCAGCTGCTTAAATGACTAACTGTACTAGGGGGAGACAGAAGAGGGAGGCAGCAATGTTTTTCGAGTCAGCTGGTTGATGTTAGGTGGGGTGAAGGGCCAGTGACAGGGCTGGGGCTGGGAGGAGACACCCAGGGGCTCAAGGTTCTCTGTGTGTTAAAACTAGCAAGTTGGTGCCAACAGTGAGATTCTGTCCCCAGCCCGCCTCTAGCTTCTGCCAGAAAATGTGGCCTGTCAGACATCCTGACGTCTCTTGGAGCAGGAGGTAGAATTGGTCAAATTAACAAAAAAAAAAAAAAAAGAACCCTTGTCAATTAAGTCAAGTGGTTGTTAAATCAATAAGAATTTATTAAGCTTATCAAGAGAAGTAAAATACGAAGTGTGTGCAAAGGTGTCAACTAAGTTTTTTTTTTTCTGAGATAATGCAGAAAGTCATTTTAAAGTATTATAAACACATGGGTTATGATTGCTTTTTTTCTCCCTCTCTGACTCTGTCTTATTCCTTCATAGGATCGAACAATCAACCCTCCAACTGGCGAAACAGACTGCCAAGTGTTTCTCCATCCCTGACATGCTCCATGCTCAATTTGGCCCTATTGCCAGCACTGGCCAACTTCCTTCCTCTCCCTCGGACAGAGCTTGAATCACTAACACCATTAATAACATGGGATCGTTTCTCCAGCCTGGGATATTTAAATTGAAGTACTTTCAAATGCCCTCTTCAGAAGCGTTGGCCACTCAGATGCTTGCAGGGACTGTCTTTTGCCTCTTTTTATATCTCTACCTCTTAGTACAGTGCCTGCCATGTAGTAGGCACATAATAAATGTTTATTGATTGATTATTAGTCTCATGCAAGACACAAAAAGACATCTGTTACATCTGAAAATAAATTCAATGCATCTGACTCCCAAATCAGCAAACATTTCCAGAAGAGAAGGGGGGAGGTCTGCCTTCTTAAGCCCCTGCTTGGTTTATTGCTGATTCCTGTAAAGGTGATGCAGGAGGCCAGAAGAGATTCATAAAGGACTTGAACGTCTCCCCCCATCCCCCATTCCACATGTCTATGCTTATTACCATTGGTTGACATCTTTCTCTTCCCACAAGGCCTACGCCAGGTCTTCTGTGAAGCCCCTCTCTGATAATTCCAACTGAAAATAATTTCTCTCTTCTCAAATATTCCCAGAGTCCCTTGACTCCTACTTTATCCCTATCATGTTCTACCTGGCTTATTGGTGTTGTTAATAACAAAGACAACAATAGCTAACACTTACACGTCATCTATGTAGTATGCAAAATACTACTTAGCATGTTATTTTTATTGGATCCTACCAACAGCCCTGGGAGATATGGGCTATTATTATTCTCATTTTACAGATGAAGAAATTGAGGCAGACAGAGGTTAAGTGACTTACCAATGATCACATGGCCAACAATAATGACCACAAGCATTTATATAGTGAAGTGCTACAAATATTATCTCACTGGACCCTCATAGCAGCCCTGGGAAGTAGGGGCTATTATTCTCCCTATTTTCCAGATGAGGAAGCTGAGGCAAACAGAGGTGAAGTGACTTAACTAGGGTTACATAGCCGGTAAGTTTCCGAGGCAGGATTTGAACTCAGGTCTAGCCTGATGGAAAAGTTCAGCACTCCATTTACTACCATCTAGCTACCCCATCATGTCCCTTTAATAGATTGCAAGACTCTTGAGGGCAGGTGCAGTGTCTTTTCTAGCTCTTCGTCCCCAGTGGGTGGCTAGAAGTGAAGAGCAGAATCTCAGAGCTGGAAGGGACCTTGATGTAGACCATTAAGTGCATCTCTCTCATTTTACCAATTAAGAAACTGAGTCTCAAAAAGGTTAAGTGACTTGGGAAAAGTCACACAGATAAGAGGTTGCAGAGCTAAGATCTGTACTTAGGGCTTCGGATTGCAGATCCATCACTCTCAGTTTTAGCTAGGATGTTTCTAT